AGGTCTTTGATGACACCCAAGGGTGAACTCCTTGCCATGCTGCGGGCTAAGAAGGCCGAGAGTATGAGCGTCAGACGGGACGCCGACGGCAATTTTATCATGGACGACCAGACTGCTGGCTTCATTGCGAATTTCATGCAACAGAATGCGGCGAAGAAAGCTGGGTCTTCTGCCTAGATTCCATATGACGTTCTAATTGGGATACTGTATTCGACCTTTCTTTCTTGGGATTCAACTGCGTGTATACAACTGTATTGTAGCATAGGACAATAAGACCAATTTGACAATAGAAACCATGTTTTTTTGTCTGCTCAATTCGCGATGCCATCGGTTTATTTCGATGCAACACAATGGCTATCTAATAGCTTATCAAACGAATGACCATCGCATGAATACAATGGAGATAGAGGAGCGTCATCTCGAAATGATTTGCCGCCGGGGATGGCCCGTGGTCCTTTATCCCATCCCATCTATCCGCACCCCGATTTTGTCTCCTCTCATCCTTTCTTCTAACACACAAAAGAGTTCAGCCCCGTCATTGCTATTTCTTTCTGTTATTTGGGGCTGTAGCTTGTGATTATATCGTCATGTCTTTTGCCACAATTAACCGATCTGCTCCGAAGACTCTTTTGGCCAGTATCCCTGCCATTGAAAATGCCTTCGCCGCTGAACCTTCTCTGAAGAAACGAGTTTATGATGCGATTGGTACGCACACTCTCACAGTCCTGGATTTCTGTCAGGCATCTGCGGTTACAAGATGCTGCTGGGAAATACAAGCTAACATCAACATTTTTTCCCTTAACAGAGAATACCCCGCAACATGTCCCTCTTTTCGAGGATATCGCTAAATATACCTCCAGCCTGCTGGCCAGGCACGCGAACCCACCCACCCAGCCCGTAGAGGCCGACGAAGGCCCTGCCGCAAAGAAACGAAAGCTCCAGAATGGCAATGTTGAAGGCAATACACAGTCCACAGGCGATGTTAAGGCGGAAGCGTCTTTACAATTCTACATGCAGGATGTCTCGTTTGCTATGCCGCAACGGAAGAAGCTCACCCTTGAGGTAACTACCGGGCGCGGTTCTCTGCGCGCGCGGAACCAATCATCAAAGGAAGTGGAATTTGGTGTTCCATTGGATAGAATACGTAAGTTTTGATCGCGTTGTGCTTGGGAGCTAGAGAGCGCTGACGTTATCCGTACATTTGCTAGGACATGTTTTGTGCCTTCCTGTGCCCGAAAAGTCTCAACGGCAGTTCAACTTCTGTATCATCCCGCAATACAGCGATGGCATCAACCCGCCTCCAGAAGGCGAACAAGTGTTCGAGTCCATGGTATGGACTGTCTCTGATGGACCGGCTAAGGCTGCATTCTCCGGGAATGGGCAGCAGGTTGGGACTGGTGATGGAGAGACAGCTGAGGCCTTGGTCCGACGGATATTGAATGAGACTTTATCGCATACAAAGGTCGTCCGCCCGGATGAGAGGCAGTTTGTGAGTGCTATGCCAGAGGCGCATCGGAAGGGGGAGAAGGCCTATCATGTCAAAGCCTTCCGTGGTAGCAAAGAAGGTATGTGATCATCTAATTCTGACTCTTCGTCAGTGAGCTAATTCATATCTTCAGGTTATCTTTTCTTCCTCTCTACGGGTATTTTCTTCGGTTTCAAGAAGCCATTGGTCTTCTTTGCCTTTGAGAACATTGAGTCGATCTCATACACTTCAGTCCTCCAGCGCACTTTCAACCTCAACATCGCGGTGCGGCCCCACAATGGTGATGAAAACGAGACGCAGGAATTTGAGCTGTCCATGATCGATCAGGCTGACTATGCTGGTATTGATGCGTATATCAAGAAACACGGTCTACAAGACGCGAGTCTGGCAGAAGCGCGACGTGCTAAGCGCTACAATATTAATGGAGCCAAGGCAGAGGAAGATGTTGCTGGCACCGCGGACGACAATGCTGCAGAGGAAAGCGAATTACAAAAGGCTCAGCGCGAGCTCGAAGATCAGGAAGATGAGGACGAAGAAGACTATGATCCCGGGAGTGACGGCGAGAGCGATGGTAGTGGCTCGAGCAGCGAAGAAGGCGAGGACGGGGATGAAGAAGGCGACGAAGGCGAGGAAGGGCAAGACCTTGTTGCGGCCGAGCTTGGAAGTGAAGCAGAAGACGTAGCTGAAGATGAATTGTGACCTTAGTCTCGAATCTGTGACACTAACTTTCGTGCACTCGGTTCATGTTTGACTGGCCCTTTTGCATCCCTGCTATTGATATAAAAAGGCATCCGAGGCTTTCCCCTTGTTCTTCACTAAATAATATCTTCTACAGTAAGCTTAATCACAAACCGCGTATATAGATCGAGTCCGGTTCTTGTGGAACATGTATAACCGATGCACAACAGTTCTAAAAACATCACGCATGACCAATGCCTGCCCTGGCTTGTGCAGGTAGCCATCATCCAGTAAGATGCTGATATAAATCCAACTCCGCGTTTCACGTCAACATGGTTTGATAGACTCGAATGGCCCACAAGGAAAGGGACAGAACAGGGATGAAGTTATTATGGCATCATATAGTGGGCCAGTGGGACGTGGCAGATCCTGCTCGTTTTTGTCCCGTTGATAGTGCCATACTCAATTCTCTTTTTTCCTACCAATCCCTCCTCTGTTAAGTACTTGGATCAGGATTCTGTGAACCACTCAGTCGGTTTCGTTTGGCGCTCTCTGGTTCGACCATCGCTTAGGAAATTTGAGATCTAGCCGAAGCCATTTCTCGAAACGCTTCTAGATCCATAAAGAGTTTATGGGTATCTGACCATCTGTGCCAGTCGGTATTAGGGAGGTAAACTGAGCAGAAAAAAATACACCGGTGTGACGCCCTACAAGTCAGAATAGTATCTTAGATACCCGGGTCAGGTACAAAACGGTATCAGGGGCTATCATGTCCTGAAGCGTCTCCGCCGCAGCAATGCCAACTCAAGCTGCTGTTGTCGCGACAAGAACAACTGTCGAGTCGCAAAACCCAACCGCTGGCGCTTATCAAAGTCTCAAACCGGTATACATTTTTACTGGTAAATTCCAGGGAAGCCGGGGGCAGGATCGAATTGTAAACAGATCTTACAAGTAGGTGTGCCTCATGTACTTGCCAGGTCGAGCCGGGTTATGTATGTACCATACCGAAGACACTGACGAACCTAAATACCATGTGACATTCCGCCGTACAAGAAATTAGGCAGTCTGCAGGGATTTACCTGATAGTGTCAATGATGAAAAATGATAGTAACCGCAGTAACAAAAGATCTTGATCAGATCAAATTCCAAATCAACTCCCTTACACAATTCTGCGACTTATCAAAGTTAAGATGAATTGTTTCCTTTTATGTACTTGATCGGATGAGTGGGTAGACTGGATAGACTAGATATCTAGTCGACAAGCTTGGAGCTCCAGCTCTCTGTTGAGCTAGTCTCATTCCTTACTGGCTCATCACTAGCAGACTTGAGACTGGCGCCAGCATAACCCACTCCGGCTTTTCCATCGTTAAACGTTATGAGCGCTAGATAGATAAATGGCGAGTCCCTGAGCCAAAGCGGCCCCGAGTCCAATACGTCGGACAAAGTACGTACGGGAAATGATTACCGCTATGTCCTTAGCTATCCCTGGTGAAGTTTGACCATCGACCCCTTCCTCACTGCGCGATAATAATATGGTCACTTTGTCGCCCCTTAACTACAGGGGATTGAGGGTCTCAGACTGAATACTGGAGTACCTTAGCCAGGAGGTATCGTAAGAGTGCTTCATTGAATAATGTACAGGTTATATACAGTATGAATTACTCTCTGCGCATGCATCCATTCCAAACCTTGACAAAATTCACAAAGATCTTAGCTACAACCATTGAAAATTACTGTTCCGTGGCTGTACAATACCGGCCGGTACATCTGGGGCGGTACCGGAAGGTACTCAGGTAGGTAGGTACCTTAGGCACTCAAGAAGCCTAACTCGACCAGTGACAAGACTCTCAAGATTTCCTTCGCTCAACTTCAATCATCCAACCAGATCCCCTTTCCTCGCCTGTCTTTTCTCACTCACTGTCGGATCGTAAGGTATCTAGTTGGTATTATTGGCACTGAGCACCAACTCTGGCTCTCCTCTCTCTCCGCCTCATTATTTCCATTTCCTTTCCCTTTGCCTCCCCCGTAGGTAGGTACCTAGTCTAAATCTTGTCCTGCACTTCTGACTGGTGTACGCTGCGTGGGCCCCCGGTTCTAACCACTCATCGTCCTCCATCTTTCTCCGTTTCCTCTTCTCTTTTTGTCCAACTCCCCAACTTCCTCTCTCCTTCTCCTTCGCCTGCTGAGTCTCCCCTCTCTCTCTTCCAGCTCTCCAATCTTCCTATCAACCGCTGCACAGTGCGGCTTATCGTGCTGACGCGCAGTTGGTTTGTTGATTTCTGGGAGTTGCCTTTTCTTGTTTCCTTTTTCCTTCTTCCCACGTCCTCCCATTTTCCGCGGTGTTCGCCCGACCGCAATCATTGCCAGAGCAGCCCCGAGTCTCAGTCCGCGGAGCAACCTTCTCGACTTCTCGTCGCCCTGTACACACAATTCCTGAACAAATTCGACGATTGCCTTTCGCCAGGTCATCTGTATCACCGTTGCAATCGTCTCTAGCGGCCCTAGGCTTGTTGTCATTTTTCCGCCTTGCCTTTTATTCTCAAGATCGACTTAGGCTGCCCGTGGAACTCGTTCATGAATGGTCCGTCTTGGTGAAGGAACTATACCTGTGCTTATTCTTACGTGGCTCGACGATCCTCTGTGAGTAGACTGGCAAGTTTTTGGATTCAAGCTATCTGTTTTCGATGTCACTTTAACTCGCCATTTCCTGGTCGTTTCAGTCGCTGACGGCTCAATTGAATGCAGCTCGTCTTCCTTGTGATATAATATCGAAGGGGTCTTCCACAGTTGTCACTTCGAAGTCTGTTTAACCTGATATCGAAACACTGTTGCGAACATGGCATCTTCGTCGTCCAACGTTGTTGGAGTTCATTATAGAGTGGGGAAGAAGATTGGTGAAGGGTCTTTTGGTGTTATCTTCGAGGGTACAAACCTCTTGAATAACCAGCAGGTGGCTATCAAGTTTGTATGTTTTACTCGAAATCGAGCCCGAATCTGATGACTCCTGATGATCTAACTGTCACAGGAACCACGCAAGAGCGATGCTCCTCAACTGCGTGATGAGTACCGGACATACAAGATCTTGGTCGGATGCCGTAAGTTCACAAAACAAGACAAAGGATGGCCGATGATTCTGACTCGACTACAGCTGGCATTCCCAACGTCTACTACTTTGGCCAGGAAGGGTTGCACAACATCTTGGTCATTGATCTCCTTGGTCCTAGTCTTGAAGACCTCTTCGACCATTGCAATCGTCGGTTCACTGTTAAGACCGTAGTGATGGTCGCCAAGCAGATGGTGCGTGCTGTGTTCCTTTACTCCTGCTGAGTGCTCGATACTAACCGCATTATCAGCTTTCGCGTGTCCAAACAATCCACGAAAAGAATCTGATCTATCGCGATATCAAGCCGGACAACTTCCTCATCGGACGACCGGGAACCAAGGCTGCCAATGTGATTCACGTCGTCGACTTTGGCATGGCCAAGCAATACAGAGATCCCAAAACCAAGCAGCACATCCCCTATCGTGAACGGAAATCGCTGTCCGGTACAGCACGTTACATGAGTATCAACACCCATCTGGGACGGGAACAATCACGACGGGATGATTTGGAAGCTCTGGGCCACGTCTTCCTTTACTTCTTACGAGGTGGCCTTCCCTGGCAGGGACTGAAGGCAGCTACCAACAAACAAAAGTACGAGAAGATCGGAGAAAAGAAGCAAACAACTGCCATCAAAGATCTCTGCGAAGGATACCCAGGTATGTTGTTCAGCAAGTCGCAGGCGTTGGACGGAACTGACTTTGTCATGCAGAGGAATTTAACAAATACCTTACCTACGTCCGCAACCTTGGTTTCGAAGACACCCCCGACTACGACTACCTGAGGGACTTGCTCACCCAAGCTCTTAAGAACGCTGGCGAAGTGGAGGATGGAGAGTATGACTGGATGAAACTGAACGGCGGCAGGGGCTGGGAATACAAGGCATATTCGTCCCAGCAGCACCTGCAGCACAATCTTCCTAATTCGTCCGCCCGCGAGCTCCATGGACAGCAGCTCCGCGGCAGCCAGAGGCCTGGTGTTACTGCAGACCGTTTAAACGCCGCGCAGCCCCCGCCCCCATCTCCAGCGAAACCCGGAGCTGGGAAGACGCGCGACCGGCCAAGCGCCTCCGGCGGAATGCCGCCGAAACGTCAGAGCGGGGGTTTGGAAGCGACAACACCGACGGCATCGACCCAGGCGCAGTTCCAGAACTCGAACGCGAACCTGTCCGGTCGCTTGGGAAGTCCGGCGAATCCCACGAAGAACAGCCAACAAGGCCAGGGCACTCAGGGCAATGACCCGCAGCCAACTTTCGTCCAAAAACTGATGAAAGTGCTGTGCTGCGGTAGGTGATGAATCTGTCAAGTTCCCAAGTGTCATGCCTTCGTGCTTATACCAGCTTCCAGGTTGACACAAGGTTCATCGACGCTGTCTCTGTAATTCTATATCACGCTGTGGTCATGTTGATCATTCAACGCTCTTTTCTCTTTGTGTCGAAATTTTTGGTGGGCTTGAAAGGCAGCATGCCCTTGCGATTCCTATTTTTCTGCCAGGGGTTATTACCCTCCTGGTTCGGATCTAGCCGGCTATAGAGGCACCACTCGCGGATGAGTGCACCATGGCTCGGGGGGGTTCCATGCTCTTCTTTTCACCCTTTCTCTTCTGTCATCAATGGGTCTTGGTCTGGATCACAGTCCCGCCCTATCTACGCTCGCTATAACTTCTTATGATGACACCTTTTACTCGAGCTTGGAGCTTGACCCGCCCACTGAACGAGGAGCTCTTCGCACCCTCCCTACCGAATACTCCGTCATCCTCACAAAGATCATAGTCATCATTCATTTCATGGTGCTACGGCTCGGAACGGCGAACTTTGAGAATTTGTCTTTGCCCTTGCATGTGTTTTTTGTCCAGCTTTTCCATTGCGCATTTCTGGCGTCAGCCATTTAATATTAGATCTCTATTTCCGTTTTGTTTGCTGCCGCAGCTTATCTGACCACTACCCTGATTCTCGCCGCGTTGCTCCTCGCCTCATCGCACACCACCACATTCCATCTCTATGCGGCTTGCTGTGGCTGTCCTTCGATGGTAATTCTAATGACCGAGGAAGAAGCGGCGTTTGTGCATCTGATGGAAGAGTCCCTCCCGCCTGGATCGGGCAATCACTCTGTTTTCACGCGAAGCTTAGCATATAAATGTTTGAATATGTCCAACGTGGGATGCACCATTGGTCATGGTGTTCATCCTTTCAAAAGCGGCCTGTGGCTGTCTGTTGTCTTCTCGTTCGTCCTTGCTCCTGAGCGTCTGTCTTCAGGGAGTCCTCGGGTGTGATTTGTGCTTGGTTCATGCTCCGTTATTCTGCCTGTTCCCTCACGCAATCATGCTCTGTGCTGTTTGTCTTGCCTTCTCTTTGCTCCTTTTCGTTTCGCCAGTCAATATGACTCGCCAGGAAAGGAACGAACTGTCACAGAGGGAACGTTTTGATATATGCTTCTGTCCTATAATACCGCGTTTGAATTTAATCTTTGCGCCTGTATTCAAGTTTGAGCAGCGGGTTGGTTCTGTGAAGATAGCGTCTATGTGTTTCTTCCTTGCAGTGCTTTTAAAATCGTGTCGTACATTTACACCTGCAACAGCTGGCTACCGAGGGCTGGCGTAGAGAGTATTGAGCAATCATTACTTAGTTATCAACCAGCATTGTACTCCCGAGATACCAATCCAATAACAACCAGTAGTCTGATCGACTTGCAAAGTATGCTTCGTTACGGGGTCGGCAGGCTGTATCCTCATAAGGAACATGGCGTTTCATAGTCTGATCCATTAAGTGTAATGGGGTCTCTTTAAAGAGAATCAACTGTGGGATCCCAGGCTATGAACCAACACAGAGGGAACTCTAGACAATCGAAAGGACAATGCAAGAATCGCACCCGAAAGACTCTGCATGCTCAACAGAGTTGTCGATGTACTATTTGCTCACTAGTACATACATGCCACGTCTCTCCACCAAAGAAGGAAAACATATGCAGATTGGAAAAGATCATCAACAATAGGATGCTCAGGTTGGCCTTTACCAGTCGACGATCTCGACAGACTAAGGGAAACTTTGTCCCGACGTCAGAGCAAGAATCGGACGATCCTATGGCAGGGATTCTGTGGTCTGATGTGTCTCTTCAGCAGCGCACACATATACCACGTAAAGCAGCTCGTACCCTCCACCACCAAGACACCAACGAGAGACCCCCGACGACTAAATGATGGAGTGCAGCGATCGACAGAGGGAGTTCCCCGTCTCAGGCATGACGAGTGACGATTGGTGAATACCCTACGGAGAAGCTAGGTCGTTACTGATGGTGGTGAGGGGGGTTATTCTGCAAGTCCAGTAACGCTGATGGCTCACATGCAGAGTCGGGACTTGGGAATTGCAGGGATTGGATTCGCCAGGTCTCTAGTCTCTAAGAGCAGCCACTACTAGTGATAAGGTGGTCAGTGCTAAGTCGACAGGGTTGTGGTGTATTAGTTTCGGGAGGGTAGGAGTGCAGGCTTGCAGTTGTCCCCCTGTCAAGCGAGAGCAATCCTAGTCTAATGGACTGCAGCAATATTGAACCCCTCCCCTTGCTCTTGCTCTTGCTTCTTATCTACATACAGTGAGTGGTGTCTCGCCTCTAGGACTGCGTCTGGCTTCATGCTAGGATGCCGTCATTGTGCATGGTAACCCGCGAGCGTCTGAGATAGATGAGTCCATGACGTCGCCAAGGCCATTTCGGTTGCAGGGGCAGTGACTAGTTAGGTTAGTTGGGTGGGAGGGGGCTAAGTCGCCTCGGTAAGAGTGAGGATCGTTCGATTGAGGCAGTTGATACTGAGAGAAGTTACTGCACAGTATGTAAGTTGGAGTAGCTAAGACTCCACCAGCCTGGTGTGGTGCCAGACGCTGCTCATACAGGCAGGTACTCTGTGGATCGAGGCATGAGTGACATTCGGGAAGATCGAACCTGCATCATGTTGGGATCGGATTCGAGCAACCAGTTGAAGATCGAGTCGGCACTCAGGCTGTCAGAGCTCTGAAAACGGTTAGGACAGGTTATTGACGGAATCGTCGCGACGGTGAAGCGAATCGCTTGATTTTCCACCGCACAATCGATCGAAGCTGGAAAGTTGCAAAATAAGATCGGACTCGAAAATATGACGTCGTCCGACCCGAAGTTCGATATAATCCACACCATATGCCAGATGCGGTGTAGATGCGTACGTATTGCACTCCCAATTTCAAAGTTTTCGCTTTATCTCGAAGGATATAACCATATTTCGATCTCTTCTGTGGAGAGCAGATGAAGTCATTGCCGTGGGGATCGTCCCGTCTTTCCTATTGCTGAGACACGGCTGCCTTTCCGGTGTGGATTAAATTTCCTTGTTTCTGAGGGTGCGACAATCCCCACTGAGACATTCTAGAACGGATCGACAGATGGATGAGAGATGTTGATCCCGGGTAGACCTGGCCATGAACAATCCGTTAGCAATGATCAATTATCATGCTAGGATCGATCCAAATGTCCGAGTCGAAGTTGAGACTGGGGGAGAACGCAGGCTGGTTAGCCCCAGAGGCACTCCATTTGTCAAAATCAGACCATCATCATAGCGGGTTGATTATGAATTCCGCACAGCGTGATGAGCCGAAAGGCTAGAAGCATGAAGCAATTCAGCAGGGACGGAATCGGTTCGCGTGATCCAGAATCACCCGATTCACACGCTATTCGATTCCCTCTCCTGCGCCGTAGAGCTCGCATTGACTGCATTTCTGCATTGCCAACAACGGAAGAATTGTGGATCTTGAACGCAGTATTCAGTATCCACTCCAAGTTCGTAACCTGCAGAGTGAAATTTTCTAGACTACTCCGTATATTCCCTGACGGTCCTTGTCTTGACCGGTTGACCTCGAACTGTCAAGCGCGGACTCGACTCGAGAACCTTGCTGGGCATCCAAGCATAAGGACTCGATAGGCGAGAGCCGAGGGTCAAAGCAGAGGCCAAGGTCACTCATTGTTGGGCCGGTGCGCATTAGGTCGCGGAGCACTGCAGATTGCCTTTAGCCTGATGATCCAGGAACAGGTCCGACTCGACCTACCTGCTCGATTCGCTCGGCTTGTTGGGCTCTGTTGATCTGTTTAGTGTTTGGTCTTTCGCAGCTCGCACAGTCTAATGCTCGTTGGACGGAGGTTGCTATCGACGGTGTCAACGTGGCGTTGGCCCCACGACACGTGCATAGATGCATCTTGTGAGAGAAGACTGCCTTGCTTTGTACAGTGAGCATAGCTGGCTGTCTTGTAAGTTGTTTAACCCTTATTACTGGATGGAGGGAAAACTCCAATGTCAGGAGATCAGACGTGTCCGGCTCAAACGCCTATCAGTAAGTCCTTGATACTTGGTTTCATATGATCTATCTTCAGGATAGCTCAGATGCTATCGAGGAGCCTGTGGTAAAGCTCCGATTTTTCTCTCCTGCATTTACTAGCCAGTTTCTCGGAAAGTTTGCTCCAAAGAGCCTACGGTCAATGCATTATTCTAGAAGCAATCGATTTCAGTAATTGCTCCAATTGTCTCAGAAATCGGCATAAGATCACCATCGTAACGTGTTCTTCGACTAGTCGTTCTACGCTTAAGCAGGAATATATTGATGTAGCACTATTATCAACTGGTTTATAGTGGAATGGTCAATATCAAGTGGCAACAACGGGTGCACTGACACGCCCAAGAGTGCCTGGATGCCTTGGAAGCTCAACAAAGAAGAATTTTCCACACCAGTGGCGAAGGAGACGGTGTGGTGTAACCCACGCCCCCATATGTTTCGGAGAAGACGTAGGTAGTCCCTCGTATCTACTCCGTTCGTGTCTGTTTATCTTTTGCTATTCATGGTCCGAATTCGGATGACCGAGACTTGTTGTGGAGCTGCTGGTCGAAGATCTGGATCTGATGAGTCAAACCTAAAAGATCGGTGTTGACATCTACGAGAGGTACAATGTAAACAAATCTCCTCAGTACATAGTTCGTAGTTAATACTATTGGTAAAGCCCAAGGCCGACGATCGTCCGGATTTCTATCTATGTACTCCGCAGTGGAATTGTGCGTAGATAGCCATCGGGAAGAATAGGAATGGCTACATTCGGTGATGATGGTGCAGTAATCTGGCCATGGGGCATCAATTCTCCTGACATTTTGTACGTGGCAAATCGAACAAACGGAGGATTCGGTTGACACTGGACTCTTCGGAGAAATGCAAAAGATGCTAACTAAAGTGTAACTCTGTACTCCGTACATTATTGACAAACTATTGGTGATGTGGCTTCTTGTACTCGCAGTTG